TATGAGTGTTTTCATGATCTGTGTCTCCTACCTTGTATTGGGTTTACGCACCGCCTGGCACAACGGGAATAGCAGCACTTTTGTCTTTCTCTGCAGTGATAGTCCATGCCGCACTCATTAGGTTCTGCCCGAACGCATCTTACGTAATCTGGCGGGCAGATCCCAGGCTTCACTGTAACAGAAAAAAGCCATCGTATGAGCAACTGGGTCTTGGCTGTGGGGATTGTTGATTAAAATCCACACGGCATGTCACCCGGCAGGCTAGAGGCAATGCCATTCACTGCCTCATGAGGGTCAGAATTCAACACTCATACAACAGCTACATGTCAGGACACAGCGCGACACCACCAAACTCTGGATAATGCTGCTTCCAATCTTCAACAGGCAGTGGTGCTGTGAGCCACATTCTTTGTGATGGAGCAGAAATGAGAAAGGAATATAAGTGCTCCTCACTCTACAGCTAAAGTTGACTGCATTAACTATCCACTAGGCACCAACCCTACTCTGAGGTCCTGGTCTTAATCTACAAGGCTCTCCGTGGACTAGGCTCACTCTCCCTCTCCTTCCATCACCAAATGTTCATGTGTAAACTTCAATTAATCCTTCAATTAATCAATAAAGCTGAGACTGATAACAGTGGGAGAGAGAATTTTCAGTGGGTAACTCATGGCAGTAGAACCCCTTCCCAAAAAAGCTGATGCACAGCAACAATCCCTGTGGCCTCTGGATGAAATCCAGGACTTACTTGTTTGACATGGGGTTTCCCGTTGAAACCCAAAAGATACCCAAATTCTAGGATCTCGGTCTGGATGTAGAGAGTTTGGGTTTATGTGTATTTATTACCAGGCTTGGAGGATTTGTATTTTATCAGTAAATGTGTGTTGATGTTGATTTCACTGTGCACTCAAACCAACTGAAATATTTTCGTCAAGAATAATCCCAATTTACTGATGGACAAGGTAAGATAAAAGAGAGCTGGAGGGTGCTTAGCTCTTGATTTAAGGATACTGCATTTTCTTTCTCCATTCTGAAATGTGCAATTGACAATTTGTCTTGCATTCGTTGTGTAATGTTACCTAATATGTGTCAGTGTCTACTGTCACTAAATAATTATTGGTTACTTGCCAGGTAATTTTCTGTGAAAATGTAAATAGGTAAAAATTGAAAAGAATACTTAAAATAAATAGTGTTGTCGATCAAAATTATACAAAAATAGAAATTGAATTCTGCCAAGCCTGTTGATTACCTGCTCAGAAACAATGGTGAGCATGACTGTCACGGTACATATCTATATTAGGTTTTTACATAGTGTCTCTCAGCATGGTACCTTAGTTTTGTTAGATAAGGACGCTATCTGGGAGAACTTCTTATGTAAAGAAAATAATTTCTCCCCTTCTTCACCCAAAAACCGAAACCTGGTGAGAAATGAGTCCAGGCAGACACGGGTCAGCTCCTGGAAACATTGAATTCTAGAACCCTGTTAAGCCCCTGCTCTCGGCCCTCCAATAAGATCAGAGCCTACTGCCTCCTGCCCCGGGGTAGAACTGTTCTGTACTAACCTCGCCTCTTCCCAGACGCAGCCGACAGTTCTGTCCAGCATAGGAGGAGCCCAACAAAGAGAAGGACATTCAGGGACTTCATGGTGGTTCTGTAGAGCTGAGTCTGATTGCCCTGAGCTGAGCCCACTGGGATTTAAACACTCCCATGGGTGGAGTGGGCGGGAGGTGGAGGTGCTTGGGGACCAGCTAACATTTGGCCCTTCCCTTGTCTGTTTCACAATCGGGGTCACCAGTCTGTCCACATCATTGTTGGTCAAGAAAAAAATAACAACCCTGCCATGCTGCAATGAGCTCTGACATTACTCAACAGCAGTCTGAAACATGCTCTTGTCCAGACAGTCCCTCTGGGGCAGTTTCCACCCCATTCCAGAGTCTCTTCTGTCTTTCAGCCTCTGTCTAGTAAGAGTTGGGCTGAGTCACCTGGTTTAATTGAACTCACACAAAGCCACAGGTACCAGAGTCATCACTACATGTTCCTCTCCTTTGCTTTGCCTGGCTCTTGGCTCCTTTGTGAGCTCTTGTCTTAAGAGGAAAGAGCAGAACAGCATTTGAAAGCTGGGAGCCCCTTTGGTAATCACCTTCCTTCGTTCCCAACGAGGGCATCTGGTGCCCTTTTGAATACTTTCTTGCAAAGATTGATTGCTCCTTAAACAGACTATGCAAATCTCTTGAGCAACACAAGTTTTGTGACAAGCACAGTCCAAGCCCTGGCCCCACAACCCTCCAAGCCCTACATGCTGTTAATGTTTAGGCAGGAAGAAACAGGCTACCTTATGCATTTTACTGTCTAGGAACCCCGGCCAGAGCCTCTGCACCAGACAAATGCCGGCAATTGCGCAAACATTCAAACCAAGAGAACACCTGCTGAGCCCAGAGCCATACGTTGTTAGTGGAGCAACGGAGGAAACCACAAGGTTGGCCAAGTAGTGAGGGAAAACCATAACGGCTGCAGGAACAAGTCTATTTTTAACAGAGCAGGACAGTCTAGTTAAAGCTTATTGTACAGCATCAGGGACAGAATGAGGAGAAAACACCCAGCCCCCGCAAGATAGTGCTTGCCCCATCCACACCTTCCCAGGCAGTGAAAGCTGGGGAGAAAGCCCCATTTCTACATCCCGGTGGGCTTTGGGACATGTTGCTCTGAGGAATGAGAATGCAAGGCTTTGCCGTGCCTTCGCTGTGTGTGAGTCTCTATGTACCTAATACCCCCTCCCCACGGCCTGGGCATCTTCCCCAGTCACCCACAAGCTGCCCCTCCCCCAGACCCAGAGCAGAAAGAACCAGAGCCCAGGTTGTCCTGTCATTCACCAGCCGTAGTTGTGGGAAATGATTTCCTGCGCTGGCGGTGTCAGTGCTGCTCCTGGGGACCCCCTCGGCTTGACACTGAAGCAGGAACTTAGCCTGGGAAAAGGAAAAATGGTCAGAGCCACAGAGGAAATGTTGATCCTGGCTGCTGGAACAGGCCCTGTCCAGCCGCTGTTGCCACGACAGCCTCGGACTGGCCTGAGTTACAGGGGCTTTCGACTGCAAGCAGTGCAAGACAGGCACCGCCTTTGCCATGGGCAGGGCAGAGCACAGCGCTGGCTGCTGATGCGGGGTACCAGGCACAGAACAGCCAGTTCCAAAGCACCCAGCCACCTCCAGAGCCTCTGGCGGGATGTGTGATGTGGGGCGGGAACTCTCAGGGGCAGGAAGGAGGCCAGAAGGCCAGAGGAGATAGAGGACTAAGGATGAGGGTGAATGCTGGCCCAGAGCTGCCTCGCCCTTCCCAGGGTTTCAACCAGTAAAGGACTTTTTGCTGTACCGAGGCTGTCTATGCTGATGGCTGGGTATGTCCTGGCTTTCATTGGCACTCACTGTTCAAACTCTGTGCCGTGAGGACGCATGGAATTCCAGCATTTAGTGCCACCTAGTGCACACGATAGGTTACATGCAGGCACGGGCTCTGAATCCACAAGTGATCCGGTGGCTGGAGAGCAATAAGGGGAGAAACGAGCTAAGGCAGCACTGAGCTGAGATCTCTGGGCACCTTTAGCACCAGCTATGAGGTACCCAGGAGCGGTTTATTGGCGCAGAGTTCTCAAACCCCAGTTCTTCCAGCATCAGAGTCAGTTATAAAGTGGAACCAATGCTGGACCTGCTGCTGCTGCTACTGAACAAGCTTCCTGCCGTAGACAGCTTCCCACGCAGTTGGATCCAGGTGCTGTGAAAGTCTTGGGTGGCACAATGCAACTTCCTTAGATTGATGAATTTCTCACTCTGAGAGTCTCGGAGCAGATCCCACTGTTTTCAGCCCATGTCACTGCCTCAGGTTCAGCCCCAGCATGTCCCTGGTATTCCAGTGTAACAATGGCTGGGAGGACAGAGAAAGGAATATGCCAGGCTAGAGCCATGCTTAGATCCCCTTGCCTCAGCTCTGGTCAATGCAATGCTGCCTGCCTGCAGCCCACAGTTGTACCATGCCTCGGCATCTAAAAGTAGAGTTGGTAGAATTTGACTGATATTTGTTATGTTTAGATTGATAGTATCCATGTATATTTTTAAGCATTTTTGCTATGTTTCTCTTCTTTGGGAAATGATGAGGGAGTTGAGACAAAGAGAGGGGGTCATGACATAATTATTTAATGATAGTAGACGAGCTTCCAAAATTAAAGCATTTACAACTCTTAAAACTCAAATTGTTTACACGAGAAGTCAAAATATACCAAGTAAATAGCCTTAAAACAAACTCTAATTTAGGTTTCAAGTACTATTTCTCTGAAACTGCTGCCTCCACCCTTGCCCCTTTCCCTGAGCCTGCCATGCCCTCACTCCTCCCCCCGAGCCTCCTGCATGCCATGAAACAACTCATCGCAGTGTGTTGGAGGTGTGGAGAGGGAGGGGGAGGCACTGTTGCCCATTTGTAAATTTTGATTATTATAGATGAATTTTTCCTCTTGGTTTGTGTGTGTGCAGTGAAATTGACATTTGCCAACATTTACCAACACAAATCAAATCCTTCCAACCTAATTGCAAGCTAATCTGCCCAGGAAAGATATATATATATATAGTTGTTAGCCTCTAAGTTCCACAGGATGTAATTACAAGCTAGGATTTCACATGCTGGTGCCTGGTGCCATCTAGTGAGACTCAATTATTAGCTAATGTGTGTACAGGAATTTGAATGCTTGGCTTGCTACATGTTCTCCCCACTAACCACAGAGTCCAGCGGAAGGTGTTAATGTTCTAAGCCTATACTGTGGAGGGGGTCAGAAATATTCCAGCAAAACATTTGTTGTGGGAATGTGCCAGTTCATTGAACTTAAAACGCTTTGGGGTCACAGTTTGATTTCAATGCAGTTGCCACAGAACAAAAACAGGTTTCAAAAGATGAGCATCCAAGGAGTGTGACTCTGAGGCTCACCAGGATACTTGCCCTGGCACCAGGCTCCACGCCAGAGAACTTGGCAATTTTTTGGGACACAGGGAGGAGGAGCGGGGGGGGGGGGGGCTGCTCACATATTACTGAGGCTTTTTGGCAATGTACATTGGTCAATTCTGACTTTGTCAGGCTCAGACTTGTGACCCCTCGTCTGAGTCATTGCTGCCGTGATGATATGAAAGCATTGATCAATGCTGGCAGAACATTAATTGGAAAATTGTAGGGCCCTAGGCTGATAAAACAATTCATATGATATGGCATGAAAACGTGAGAAGCTGACACCCAGGAAGGAAAAGTTGAAATCAAGGCAATTTACATCAATGATTCAAACCATAACTGAAATCACCAGGTGGAAGCTTGGATTTAAATTGTCAGTTTTAGTCATCTTTCCCATTAGTATTTCTCTTATTTTTGAAGGAAAGGTGCATTTTTCTGGGTTGATAGTTGTCAATCAATAAGTTCTAAGGGTTCTAAATTGCACCTTCACACTGAACTTGGTGCATCTATTTACCATCTAGGTGGGTAACCTATAACTATCTACATTTCTTTCAGCAATTATATAGATTAATATTTTCAGGTGCTTGCTAATTCTACTCGTTAGTGTATTACAACATGGAGAAGGAAAACAATGAGCAAAAACGGTCTCTCCCTTTCCCTCAAGACTTCTTGATATGCTTCTTAACAAGATGACAGATTGGGAGAAATGAGGAGGAAAAGAGGTGAGAGCTTTCAAAAACTGACTCTGATATGTTGGGACATGGTCCGGACGTGGCTTCCCTCTGACCAGAGCATCAGGCAAATCTATGTTCTTCTATGCCTACGCTTTTGGTACAATGTGAGGGGGCAGTTGCTTGATTAGAAACTTTGTGGGTGGACAATGGTGGAACAAATATTTTAATGAGGAATTACTTCACTGATCTCTCAAAGTCCAGTACAATACACCACATTGTGATTCCAACGAGGCCAGCAAAACCACAGCCATGTATAACTGGTGTAATACCATGAACTAGGCACCACTTTTTTAATTGCTTTACAAAGTTCCTACAGGCCTACGGTATAAAATGCAGCCTTCTTTAGATTCTTATTTGCCTTGTTCAGAGTAAGATCATCCAGGCAGCAGCTGGAAAACTGACTCAGCCAGCAGAGTTGGTGGCTATGCAGTATAATGATAACAGAAGTGATTGCATCTCTGATTCATCTTCTGATTGCATCTCTGAAACTACACTGTCTCCTTAAAGACCTCCCTACATCTACTCGGGACCAAATCCACACAGAAACACCTTCTGAACCCTGACCAGGATTGTTCTATCTGCTTCCCAAAATCCATAAACCGGGACACCCCGGACGTCCCATCATCTCAGGTATCGGCACGCTCACTACTGGATTATCCAGCTATGTAGGCTTTCTTCTCAAACCCTATGCAACCAACACTCCCAGCTATCTCTGAGATACTACTGACTTCCTGAGAAAACTACAAAACATCGATAACCTCCCTGATAACACCATCCTTGCTACCATGGATGTAGAAGCTCTATACACCAACATCCCTCATGAAGATGTATTACAAGCAATTAGAAACACTATCCCAGAGGACACCACTGCCAATCTGGCAGCAGACCTTTGTAACTTTGTTCTCACCCACAATTATTTCCAATTTGAGGACAACTTATACTTCCAGATCAGTGGCACAGCCATGGGTCCCTGCATGGCCCCACAGTAC